GGTGCTTTTGCCGTAGAATTGGAGCGTGCTATCCAGTTAGCGAAAAATTTCGAAATTACCTCTTCTTTGACGGCCGAATTTTCCTGCAGAGCATTCGGAAGAGGAAAGACAAATATGCTAAGTACTAAGTTACAATTAGCGCGTGACACATCTCTCATCTGTACACAAGGCAAACGCTCGTTATCTAAGAGTATCATATCTGTTGCTTGAAATACCGATATCCGTTATGTGGCCGTGGTAACATGCCATCGTGGTAACATCTCTCGTCTGAGCATGATCAAATGCACAGATGAGATACCTGGAATTACCGCGTATTTTAAGATAAGAATGAACGGAATGCGCGTTGAAGCAGCGCTAGCGTGAGCCGGCGATCTCTTTATCGAGGGAACACGTCTGCAACGGCTTCCCGTTGCAGACGTGTTCCCCGTTTCACCCATATCCCCTTGCTCACTTTCATTCACGTTTCCCTGGCCTGCATTCTGCTGCAAAACGAAAACATGGGATTTTTGACTTTCGCTCCGCGTACCTAGGCGCATGCTGCGCGCTCAGCATATGTGTTTCAGTACGTAGTATGGATTATCCACTCTGAGAAACTCTCCCTTGTGGGAGCGTTGCGCGAATTGGGTTTCACATGCCAATTTTCATTCTTTCAACAACCATACCTTCTTTCATACGCATAGAAAAAGTCTCACTAAGGAAGGGACCCTCAATGGGCTTATCGCACCATATAATTAGCTAACAGGTAGGATCCTTTTTCGTATGAGTCGCAACTGTAGGGATAAGGCCATTTTGCGGTTCAGGTGCGACAACGGCAGTCAGGCGGCCATTAGCTATATAAACGACACATATCAGTGTTAGTGGCTCCACCCATTCGGACTGATAAGGTCCACTTGCTACTGCGGAAATAAATCAGTGTACTCAGTAAAGGTGCCTCAACGTGAGTAGTCAAGAAAACTATTCACTAGAATTAAGGACTATTAGACATTTATGATGTCCTTCCTATAGCCAGTGGGTACTTAAACACTGCATACTGTCCTGCAACATTTTAATTTCGGAACAACCTCCCTTCATTAAACGACAACTCAAATCCGCGAGATCTCTAGCATCAATAGATAAGACAAGTTCTCACCTTTTGCACGGCTTCCCGATTCCATTCTCCTAGAACAACGGCAACTACGACGAAAAGAATAGGTAGACCTCATTTTTGAGCAGAGGCTGATTTTCAAAATTTCTGCTCTCCAAAACGTGCAGTAGGGACCAAGGTGAGTGGTATTTAAAAGGCACCAAGTTCGATGAATGAGCTCAGCACGGTCGCATTCCCTAGTCGAGATCTATAATCTTTCGACGTGGCCTCATCGCCTCATGCGTTCTTCGCATTGCCGAGGAAAAAGAAGAAACCGAGTGTATCATGAAATCAAGCGTAACGTCATCCATGTTTTGAAGTCATCAGACTGTGGTTGTCACTGCCGTCCGATACGCGATTGGGCTACCAGTTAACATTTTAAACAAAGTTCAGCAAAAAAAAATCGTTTCCAAGGTGTCAAAGGACCGACCATCTCGTTGGCAATGACAAGCGAACTCTCTCAACTCCACGACCCTATAGGTCACCGGCGAGATAAACTGTTACCAATTTTGCATCCGCATGTCCAGTACATTTTTGGAGAGCGTTAAGGTGACACAGGGCACGTGGACGAACAATGCACCTCTTTCACACTATCGTCTACGCTGTCATCGGACTACTTGCTACTCGCTTTTTTCCAGGTGTAGATGATGTGCGCGATAAATCCTTTACTTGTTTGTTGATTTTTATCATTGTTTGTTATATGAGTGGGAGCTAACCAACAGGTGATGATTTTGAGATCGCTCAGTCTCAAGATTGTGCCAAACCGAAAGAACATATTCGCGAAGCCCCAAACAAAATTGGTTGAGCTGAACCAGACACCAGCACGACCTAAAGTCAACAACTATTCGCCGCTTTGAATGGGTATCAGCTGAGTCGCACACCAACTCGCTGTCCCTTGATCATGACTGCAGGAGAGCTAAGGCAGGAAAAGCGGGCGCTGGCAATGATTCCAGCAAAAAGTGCTCCACCGGATTGACTTTTTCGTAGGACGCGTAATCCACTCGAAAGTCGATGCGCCCACTCTCCTGTTCACCCTTCGCAAACTACGAATGCATCCTTGTTCAAATGATGAAGGTCGACGTCTACCATTTCCTGCGGTATGCATCAAATTTTTCGCTTTTGATCTAACTTGCAGAAACTGCGTGCATGACCTTTACAACTAGTCACGAGGGCTTACAACTTTACAAGCCTGTTGTTGTACCGAATGTATCACTGGCATTTGTACTAAGCATCGGTTTTCAGTGAAGAAGGCTTCATTAGCCATGGCAAGAGCCAGTGATGGTGAATGCATCTTTGATTGATGCCTTCCAGGTTCTCGTCACCAGCAAGCGGCCTGCTCCTGGAAGCAATGGTGAAGGAGGACATGAGCATTGAAAATCCACTCGATTCATGCTTCTTTGCTGAAATCTCGCAAGGTTGGTAGGCCACTTTGCTGGCTGACGTACGTTTCGGCGGGGACTCCTTTTTCAAGAATTTTAAACAACCCTGCGATTGCATATTATACGTAGAGGCGTTCAATAACGAAAATAGTCACCACGTGAATTTCCAGGATAGGAAAAAGCAAAGAAACATGACAAGCACCAAAGGGAGCCCTCCCCTCCGGCAGCCTCACTGAGCGAGTTGTCTTGACCTGCTCGTTTTAGCCAGCGAAGCCCTATGCGACCTCTACGTCTGCCCAAGGAAGGAGGATTATGGATTGCTCTTGCGCGAGGACTGTCTTGAAGGGATCCCACCCAAGAAAGTTCCGTAATCCACTCCAATCTTCAAGACCACTACAAAGCTGGCTACTGAATCCAAATCGGATCGTTGTTCATTTTTGGCTAGATGATCCGAATCCAAGATGCAGATGCCGAGCAGGGTACAGCATCGTGATGTGTGATGGTGGTGCAAGTACGACCCCCCCCCATCTTCAAACGATCTGCTTGCTCGCCGGCCGAGGGAGGCTCCTGACACCGCCCGCCGAGGGAGGCTTCTCGGTCAGCAGGTAAACTGAGGCCCTCAGGACATCAAATAAAGACAATAAGTGAAGTCACAACCCCTAGGTGTTGTACAAGACATATCCGGCCATCTCAATTTCGGTAGGTGAAAATGTAAACTATTACATGAATAAACTACATAATTATGTTATAAACACCTAAATAATACAAAATAAAGTAGTTACATACAAATATTGTAAAAATTAATACCAGATTACCTGTATTACTGTGAAAAGCTGGGACGTCGACCATACTCCGCGCATAAACCTCTCAAGGAAGGAAAGTAGCCCCTGGACGTGGCCCGCGCTGCGATCCGAGCGTAAAATAGCGATGAGGCGTCGACTGCTGACGAGAGGGAATCGCGTTGCGTCCTCCAGCTTCATCATTTATGCTGGTGGTCGCACGTAAGTGAAGACGAGCCGTATAAGTTAGACGAGTAAAAAACATGTAAAAAAAAAGCTACCCGTGGCGAAGCCGCGCTCGTCAGAAGGAGGCAGGCCGGCGTCAGCCGGCGAGCCGACTGGTAAAGGATGTTGTTTTGTTAGCTGCACCTATGTATACTCAACTCAGATACATACCAATTTTGTAGGATACGAGCGAAACATTTCTGAGCAAGCAACGACTGTGTTTTTTTCCTGCATGCCCAGCCTTCCCGATTGATCTTCGAGAATTTTTGCTCAGTAGTATTATAACATAGATGTTAAAGTTACAAAATATTGGACGAGATGAATCCAGCTGAAATTGTCGACAACTGAACGATAGAAGATTGAAAATGCATTTTTTTCCGTAGGAAGCATTTGCCACGTTCAGGGCGAAAGTGCGGCCCATACAGAGGAGGGGCCGATACCTCAAAAGTAAGCAGATAGATTTTGCGGTAAGAACAAGTAGTTCTCAACAGCAGAACTACTGTGTTAATCGAAAGGTCCTGCTACACTCCGAATGACATGCAAAATCGGATATTCCTTCAATAAACGAGCTCTTAATTAAAGACAGACCCTACAATTGAGTGTGGCGGATGGTGGCATTCAACCTCAAGCCTATGATCGCTAAGAAACTGTCCATTACAGAAGAGAGAAAAGAAATCATTGAGAACACCCTAAGTGAGGAATTCTCTGGACGAGTTCTCCGGACCTGGTCGTTTTATGCCAGCAAAGCGACATCCTCTGGCTCACTACCCGTTTCTTCGCGTCATCACGCTAATACCACCAATTAGTTTAGCATATTACGGTGATCCATGTCATCAAATACAGAGTTTGATGACGTGGACCGTCGTAATGCGCGCACTTCCAGGTCAATTCATCAATTTTGACCAATAATTCATTGCAATCTCCACCTTTTTTCAATCGATTATGTGGTACGAATTTCCCGCAAAAACGTTTTTGACAACATTAGAACATGAAAGAAAACACAAATTAAAACATCGAGCAAATGTTGACACAACATGTGTGTCACGCGGTCCGGAACGTGTTTAAAAGAACTAAAAGCACGGTGCAAAAACTGAACTCGCGAAAGGAGTTGTCTGCGTTTTGGTGGGCGGGACAACTAGAAAGGCCGCCTTTTTTGAGGGGCACAGCGCCTTCATTACTCGCTGCGAAGTCGCGAAAGCAGGATAATCTTAGTGATTGTGGACCAGACTACTTATACAAGGAAGAACATTTACAAATCGCTTGATACGCGGGGACTGTCTTTAACAAGATGATCACCACCAGTATGAGGTTCTTGTCCATCTGTTGAGCAGCTTCCCTATAGCACCCTCCCAGAAAGCCGATAATACAATCCGACAACACTACTTCGCATGGATTTATATCTCCTGCAATTTGAGGGTTTCGATGGTTTCTTTGCATTCTTTCTTGTTTGTGAACTGATTAGCATTTACATTTTCACTTTGCGTTATAACCTGGTCAAAGCCCACAAGTATGGATGTGAACGTGATATATCTTCAATGGAACAAACGAGAATTCCACCTCATCTGTCCGATAACCTCCGATAACAGGATCCTGCTTCCTCATTGATTTCCATAACCTTGTTGCCTCAGCGGTTGAAGTAACGTTTGGAGCAGCAACATGAGTTCTGGATACGTATGCAAGGTCATGAGAACATCCACAATGAATAACACGGACACTCACAGCTCTTCCCCGATTTCTGCATCAACAGAGTCCTTACTTCCTAGTTTAGAAGGAGACCTTGTTGCATTTGCCTGGAAAGAAAGTTTTTGAATGATTTACAGATTGCTGAACACTTGGTGATTTGAGCCTGTGGGGGTTCATAATGTGAAAATAAGAATAAAATCCTATATAACATCAAACCTCATCAACTGGTGGTTTCGTATCTTGCTCAACAGCTTCGAAAGGACGAATCGCATTTTGTGTAGTGTTCGCGCTTTGCACCTGACCTGTCTGGCGTTTGATCTGGACGCAAAATTAAGAGCGAGAGTGGCTTATCTTTCGGAATGGCAATATCCACCACCTTATTTCGATATTCCCAAAAAGAAGAGTGTGTCATCTTGTACTGCCCATGATCACGATTTGCAATGCTATAGCGCCAGAATGGCTTCACTCCCGTTCGCGGTCTTGTAGAGCACATGCCCATATACAGTAAGTTCAGCTTGGATTCTGCCTCGTTAATGCTTACCTTAATATTTCGAATGTGCCCTTAATTCCAATAACTGATGTTCTCTATATGAATTTGGATTCAAGAATGCTCCTCACATACCTGGTGCCAGTTGCTGTACATCGACAGATTTCCTTTCTGTTCAACAAACATTGGCTGAGCGCGGTGCATACAAACGAACGTTTCACTGGTTATATTTCTACCACGAGATCTAATAGAAAGCCTGATTCTGAGAGAGAAATCTTACCGATACTACGAAAATTACAAGCTTCACTGCTTTTTTTATAAACATACTAGAAAAGTACCAATGCACGAAAACAAACCTTCGGATAGTAGATACATCAGCTGCTGACTGCATTTTGCACGAATGCGTCAACATCAGTGTATATGGCTTCTCAGTATTGCCATCGAGCATGTGACCCTCAATACTGAACGGATTCTCCTGTAAACAAGATCCTGCATCAGTTCTGCTGTGAGAAAATGGGCCTTATGTTACCTCTTTTTCTGGAAGCTGATTCACGTCCGCTCTAGCAGGAATATAATTTGTACAAGGCGGAGAGGCAAATACTGACGAATTTGCACCTATCTGAAGGGTATAGAGCGGTACAGAAGCATGTAGCTGATGCATCATAGACGAAACCACATTTGGAGCCGCAATGAAATGTCCTCGAGGTTGGTTTAAACCAGCCGACACTGTCGTGATCCTAAGCAGTTGTCTGTTACTAAATCCAGTTGACGACCAGAACGTCATTCTTGCAGTCGAAATTGTCTATCAAATATTCATGAGTACAGTATATATTTCGCATTGTATTGGCGCTGATTTCCGCTTGTCCACATGGTTCCACCGCGTACAACTGCTCGCTTACGCAGGCTGAGCTAAACGTGACACTCGAATGCAACTGACAGACCTTCGTCACGGGCCCACCTACGAATACCCCATGTCACATCAAGATGACGAAGCCATACGTTTTCCGCGTTAATGCTACGGCGTCCACGTGAACCCCCGCGCACTCGCAAGGCCCGGCGAGTGTGAAAAAATGCGGAGGTTTACTATGCAAGGACGGCATCGGTGGCAACTAAGCTAATATAAAAATCACACAGCGTGTTAAAGGCTCGCGTTGCAACGGTGAACGTCGCGACTTTGACTGGGCGTGGGCTGGCAGAAGCGCTAGAGTAGAAATATCGACATCTGCGCAGTGCAAGGGACGAGATGGGCAGACCGTCAGTGGGCCTTGAGCCACGACCATGGTTCAACTGGTCGCCGGTTCAAGGCCGTTTTTTGTAGTGGGCCGAAAACTACAAGAGGCCGTAATCATGTCTCAGCGGTTCCGCAACTTGATTGCGAGCGCAGTTCGTTTCAGGTAAAGTTAGGCAACAGTGTCGACGACCGTTTGATGAAGATGTAGCTGTCCGAAGAACGACTAAACCTTTTCTTCCCTACATATGCACCACAAACTCGGCTGGGCTGTGCTAGATGAGCCGGCGGCCGAGGTGCCAAAAGAAGACCACGTAATTGTAGCTGGCACTTAAATGGGCACCTGCGCTTTCCGAAATATGGCTACGCTTGCCATGGCGGATCCGGATACGGATCACAGAACGCCCACGTGAGCGAACATCTGAGTATGCGCATACGCATAAACTTGACATACTTAACATAAAATTTCGCGGATTTCGCATAAATTTTCGCGACCCTCATCTCATCACCTTTTAGGGCGGGAGCAGAAGAATACAAGTTGACCTTGTACTCATCAGACATGACTATAAAGGAATCGCTACCGACGCGAAGGTAGTGCAGTATGAAACAGTGGTCACGCAGCACTACTAATCTGCATGCTCGGACTTGTGGCTCCCAGACCGAAGCAGGCGGAGTGATGCAGTTCCGAACGAATCTATTGGTGGCGACCGAGGAAGCGGAGGCACCCATGATTTCTCGCATTCGATTTCCCAAGGTCATGACTGTCGACGGAACCTGGAAAGAAGCCATCGAATCGGTAAACCAGACCGGCCGTTCCGAACTCGGCACAACGAAGCCTGGACGGCGGAGGATTGACAAAGATGCCTGGCTGCAGACAGGATGATGCCAGAAGCGAAGGTTCGCGAGAAGAAGAGGCTCTATCACGTGTGTATCAAGAACAAGTCAGCTCAGAACTGGCGGAATCATCAGCAAGCAGAAGTATTGCAAAGAAGGCTGTGGCTGCGGTAAGAGCCATTCATTCCGATTATGTCAGCAAGAAACTGAATACGCACGACGGTCAGAAATAATCTCCCCACACACTTCCAAAAAAGCCTTCTGCACGTGAAGGAATCTCCCCACACACCTCCAAAAAATAGAGCCTCCTGTGTATGAAGGAATCTCCCCCACATAATTCTAAAGGATAGCCTTCTGCGTGTGAAGGAATCTCCCCACGCACTTCAAAAAATAGAGCCTTCTGTGTGTGAAGTGACTCTCATCATACACTTCCAACAATTAGAGCCTTCTGTGTATGGAGTGACTCTCCCCCACATACTTCTAAAGGATAGCCTTCTGCGTGTAAAGGAATCTCCCCACGCACTTCAAAAAATAGAGCCTTCTGTGTGTGAAGTGACTCTCATCATACACTTCCAAAATTAGAGCCTTCTGCGTGTGAAGGAATCTCCCCACACACTTCCAAAAAATAGAGCCTCCTGTGTGTGAAGTGACTCTCCCCACACACTTCCAACAATTAGAGCCTTCTGCGTGTGAAGGTGTTTGCCAGGAGGGGTCCGATGATCCCTCCACAAGCACATGGTCAATGTCCGTTTGCCTCCCCCCACTATTGTAAGTTATCGTCTGGTCTGTCTGTTTGCGGAGAGAGTACTGCAGACTGCTAGGTCGTGGGCTGTTGCAAGGTCAAGATCCTCTCTCCTTCAGTGTTCCTCGTTTCTATTCCTCTGCCTCAGTGCACTGCTTCTATGCAAGGTACAGCATCGTTGTGCGAAACTCACTTGGCCTTGGCCGCTGGGGGGGGGGGTCGTAAAAGCACCGTTAGTGAGCAACGAATAGCACAAAAGTGTCTTCGCTAAGTTTGAGAGCGGACGCAATACCGGAGGACCCCGATATCGAAATAATTAATGAGCAATACCAACTGTTGACATAAATTCGTAAGTACATGGATGAATAAATAATACATCTCAAACAAACTCATGCGGACCGACCCTTCCAAACGCTAAACAAGCACATCTGCTTGCATGGACAAAAATCACCTAAAATTAGAAGTTACACCTTTCCACCACCTCTGCGTAGAAGCGTAATGCACGGCGCACACTCGGACCAAATCGATCGATGATAACCAAATTATGCTTTGACTCAGTTCAACGGGAGTATTGACTATGTGTTTTGAAGACATA